TCCCACAATACCTCTAGTGACTGCCTGAGGGCTGGTTAAAGGACCACTATAGGCACCCAGACCACTTCAGCTTAATGAAGTGGTCTGGGTGCCAGGTCCATCTAGGGTTAACCTTGCCTGCTGTAAACATAGCAGTTTCAGAGAAACTGCTATGTTTACATTTGGGTTAATCCAGCCTCTAGTGGCTGTCTCACTGACAGCCACTAGAGGCTGCTTCCACGATTCTCACTGTGACAATCAGCGAGAAGACGCTGACGTCCATAGGAAAGCATTGAGAATGATTTCCTAAGGACTGACTCTTGCCGCGCATGCGTGTAACCGAGTAAACTTGCAGAAGCCAGACACAGAGAGATGGATGCAGGTTTTCAGGAAGTAAGAGGTCTTTATTAACATACCGATCGGGCCTCAGATGAACTAACGTTCCAAAACAGGTCTGAGGGCCGAACACATGGAGTACATGCTATTTATAGAACTATAACTCCTCCCTTTAATAGCTCCACCCGCACATACCCTTAACCAATCAGTGGACAGGATTTGGATTTCCTCATATGGGAAGACCACATGGCTTATCCGAAACATGGAGAAAGGAGTGTGATTTCAGTTCCTGCATTCCTGCACATGCTTAGTACATTGATGACAGTATCTTAGCTACGTGCAACTAATTAACTGATACAACATACACATATGCCACGTGGAAATCTCAGCCTACTAAATTTACATTTCACCGAAATTCCATCACATTCCCCCCTTTGATGCCTCTGATACAAAATGATTCAAGATGCATCACCAATCATAGTTTACCAACACCTCTCAAGTAGCCACTGGACCAGAGCAGACCTTGTAAGCATCTTAGCATCATCACAAACTCCTTCAGCATTCCTCATCCTGAATATGTTCTCTTTGGGCTAGGAATTCATATCTATAGACAGCCATTACACGAGCAGCTGTCTTACTTTCTATAGTACTCTCTATGATACTACGTATAGATCTGACCACTAATGGAATTAGGTAGGGCAGAAAGAGACATAAGAATATAATAAATACTACTCCTCCTACTAATGCCTTAATCCCTCCAAGCTGCTCATACCAACTTCCAAACCAACTTCTAGGATTATACCCATTCCAGACCTGAGTAGGTACATGCGTCAGTTTAACCATGTGGCTTGTAAGTTCAGCCACTGCCCGCCCTTCATCATCTATGTGCAAACAACAGTTGCTGAGATTAAACTTTCCGCATACACCTCCCTCTACTGCTAATAGTAGTCCAGAGCTAATCTATTTTGATAGATGGCTGATCTCATCCGAGTATTTTGCTTAGCTAGAAGATTAAGTGCTTGAGCTGTCTCATTAGTGATAATCTCAACCACCGCCTGTAGTCTTATAATACGGTTGAGCATATATATTGGGGTTCTATATCCATAGGTACCATCTTCTGCCCAAGTAGCAGGTCCATAATAATTAATAATGCAATGGGGAGGCCACGCATCATCTTCCCAGCTACCTATATTCAAGGATGCTCGCTTCTTTTTATGATTTACATCATAAACCTTAACTCCCAAGGTCTCTCCTGTCTCAACTGGCAACAAGAAGAAGGATGGTTTGAGCATACCTAATACACATGCCCCTTCCCAATCTTTTTTTTTTTTTATAAATTTCTTTATTAGAGGTATGTTGATTGCGGCAATGTTACATTAGTTTTCCATAGAACAACAGGATCATGTAATATGCACAACATTCAATGTCCAGAAACATTATTCAAACAAGTTTTTTTTTTTGTTTTTTTTTTTGTTTCCCATCCTTCTATCTTATTTCCTCCTTTTCCCTTCATACATTCCTATACCCTAGTTCCCTATCTGAAAAAATGTTTTTGGTAGTCGCGAGATGTAGATAATATGGCTATTATGATAGAATAAGAACAATAACAGCGTATTAATACAATAAGCCTCCGGGTACCTAATATAGGTGGGAGCTTGATTCGACATAAAGTATAAGTTAAGCGTTTGGAGACTAGAGTGTCCCTAGGACCATTACCTATGGCAAAGCTCGTGCGTTGTTAGGGTATCTCCATGTTCCAACCATGTTGTCTAAGGCCCTGTCGCTAACTAGTGTGTGGTAAGTGTCGAGATTC